ATGGCGCATCTACCTTTTGCGCAGCACCTCCCAGCCAAGATACCACGGAGATGACCAGTATTAGTCCTATAGAGTTCACTGCAATGGATGACCTTCTTCAATCTGCAGACCTCATCTCGCTTCAATGTGCAGACACATACTGCTGTACAATCATTGATTGGCTCACCGGTTTGTTCCGTGCTCCTAACAGCCGCTTACGAACACAAGTCACGCGTTTCAAACTTCATGATGAGGCGTTACTTCGGCAAGTTTACCATCCTCTCGGTAGCCGATGGGTCCCAGTCATACCTCGTTCACTTCGACTCCAAGTTTTAGAAGCCTTTCATGACGACCCGATGGCTGGCCACTTGGGTTTTCATAAAACCTACGATCGCATGAATGCTCACTGTTTCTGGCCTGGCCTTTCCACTAGTGTTTCCAAGTACGTCACTTCCTGTTCATCATGTCAGCACCAAAAACGTTCAACATCTCTTCCCGCTAACCCTCTACAACCTCTCCTGTGCCCGTCCGCTCCCTTCGAGTTTGTCCGTATAGACTTATACGGACCCCTTCTGCTTACCTCAGTCGGTCACTACTGGATGGTTACTGCCGTAGACCATCTTACTCGCTACGCTGAGACGGCAGCTCTTCCTTTTGGTGCTGCCGCCGAAGTGGCCGAATTTGTTCTGCGTGCCGTTATCTTGCGCCATGGCGCCCCTCGTGTTCTCCTGAGTGACCTTGACAAGTCAGTTCTTTCACACATGCTCAGTGAAGTCCTACAGACCTCTGACACCATTCATAAGACCACCTCGGCATATCATCCGCAAGCAAATCGTCTCACTGAGCGTTTTCGTAGAACTAAGTAGAACATGATCTCTATGTACGTGCGGCCCGATCACAAGAACTGGGACACAATACTACCTTTCGTCACGTTTGCCTATAACACTGCCATTCAACGCACTACAAGTTACAGCATGTTTTTTCTTGTGTGTGGCCGTGCACGATATCATGTTCACACCAGCTTCTCGTCCACGCCTTCTGTCCCATCCGCGTCCTTTCCGGAAGAGTTCGCTGCCCGTTTCAACTACTGCCGCAACTACCCGTGCCAACACCTCTACCATTCAGGCCCAGCGAAAATTTCGTTATGACGCGACACGTCGCGTTGTGTCATTCTACTCAGGTGACGAAGTGCTCCTCTGGACACCTGTTCGCACACCCGGCCTCTGTGAAAAATTTGTTCACCGACACCTAGGTCCTTACACTGTGCTTGAACGAACATCAGCCGTGAATTATCGAGTCGCTCCGGTTACTTCGGCTTCTGATCGCCGTCATCGCGTGACCGAGATCGTTCATGTATCTCGCCTGAAGCCTTATATCCGTACCCTTACTAAATGGTCGCCTTGATGACTGCTTTCGTGTAGAGGGGAAATAGTGTGAGCGCTGACAGTGTAGTTCATCATCTTCACTTGCGTATACAAATCATCATCATCGTAGTCTCTCGCCGCGTGTTCTGTTACGGGCTCTCGCGCCTGTGTTGGGAAATACAACGGTTACAACGGTCCCTCTTTCGTACCTAATGTCGTCTCACAATATATATATATATATATATATATATATATATATATATATATATATATATATATATATATATATATATATATATATATATATATATATATATATATATAAATATATATATATATATAAATAAATAAATATATATATATATATATATATATATATATATATATATATATATATATATATATATATATATATATATATATATATATATATATATATATATATATATATATATATATATGTGTGTATGCAGGCATGGTTGCGAAAATGGAAAGTGGCCGTAGCGTAGCAAATAGTCAGTAGATCCTCCGTGAGAACAGTAACAACGGAAGCGTTTTAATCAACAGTTCTGACCAGACTCTGGCCTTCGTCAAGAATGAGGGTGCATTCTGTTCGTGCTCGCATTTGTGGTATTTTGAGTAAAGATTGAGAGAGAAAGAACGGCTAAGACAGAAAGAAAATTTGACAAAAAGAGGGGGGAATCGAGAACGTTGGAGGGTTCACTGCGCTATGCGAGTGGCGTCATGAGTGTGTATTTTCTTAGAAGTATTCCGTTCAGTGTAGTTGAGTGGTGGTTCCTTTATTGTGGACGGTGGCTGGCTCAAGTAAGCGCTTGCGTGTCAGGAAAGTTGTTCATTTTCTTTTTTTCCCACCGGCCGTCACTAATCAGGCGTCGGAGAAGGCTTCCCGAGGCTCCAGGGAGGCGGCGTGGAAGAAAAGGTTTTTTAACGCGCCGTCTCGCTTTGAAGGGATACCAGGCAGTGTGGCCAAAATGCGGGAATGGGCGTTTACAGTGAATATTACTTTGTTCTGAGAATCCGCGTTTGGGGGCTTTTAGCTGTGTATGCGGTGACTGTTCGTCTTGTCGGGCTTACAACCATTGATCAGTTAGTACGAGAGATAAAAATGGACGACAGTAGTACATCAGAAGGGGTAGTTAAATGAAACACGAAAAGATATGTGTGATTGTCTAGTCCTCGTCGCTGTTACACTGCGGCACTATAAAGGACAGAAAAAAAATGCAAGGTCTGGGACTTAAAACCTCTACGTAAGAGTTCGGCGGTGTGTTCCTTCCGCAGAAAATAGAGATGCGACACATGATCGAAAGTGCGACACTATGCACGAAAAAGCGCTTTGCCGATGACCTGTTGCTGCCATCTGGCAGTGGACCCAGGTTCCACACAAGTTCATCTTTCTCAACGCCACTACCAGAGGGCATCCACATCTCACGCAGCGCCTCCTCTATTTTATCAATGTCAGTGCGATGCTGCCAATTCAACACAGAGGAGGCGCTGCCAGAGGCAAGGCAACACATAAATGGCTGCTTGGCCGGTAAAACACTATCGTGTTTAGCCGACATTCGCAGTGAAACACACTGATACACGGCCAACTTTTTAAGTAGACAAATTTCTTTATGTGTGGAGGGCACCATACCATGCTAGTGGTGACTTTTCTCATAACTTTAAGGAAAATGTCGTCTTGGATTTACGTCTCTGTTTGTCTTATGACAAATTTGTAGGGTCTTGAACGCTTCGTTGGTGGACTTTTCGCAGTGTTGGGCTAAGTTCAAGAAATAATCAGTGGTCTTCACATTCGGCGCGTGTCTTTCCAGTTGAAAAAAAAATCATGATCGACCATAACCGTTACAAATTTACCGCAAAAGGTAAAAGAAAATACTTGGTTTCGGACTAAACTGCGAGCAGTTTTGCATTGACTTCGTTAGCTTTAGTAGGTACAGGTACAGGTAGTGACTATTCCATGGCATCTGCCTAAGCAATATAAGTAAAGGTTATATATGATCTATTACAAAAAACTGGATAGGAGCGTAGCACGTAAGGATGGATGTTTCAGCTCGACTAACGTGAAATCTGGAGAGGAGAAAAGCTTGGAGTGTTTTGGGATAGTGATTTTTGTTGAAGCATTAGTGGGTGCCAAGCGTGATATCGGGGAGTATATAGGCAAGAGTGTTCCCGCTGCACTAACGTCTCTGAAAAACAGCGTCGGAATGCTACTTACTAGAAGTCTCTTGTTTTTGTTGTTTCTCTCTTTCCTCTCTACATGCCCGGCTTCATTTCCTTGTGAAATGTGGGGACAATGTTTCCCTTGCACTGGTGTCTTCGGCTATTCGTTGGGCCAAGTGTTGCCTTCTTCATTTTTAGTGGACTGGTCGCAAGTTGTGGGATTTACGCATTGTGATGCATGCCCATTTTTTGTGATAGACCGCAAACGCATTGCAGACCGTGATGACAGGAGATGCCTACATGCCAAGCCGCTAAGCTGCCTATGACCTAATATACGAGACCCTATGACTTAATTGCAGATTATCAGTGGAGACCTGTGGTGCACCCTACACAGATAACCCCCTTCTCACTGCTGCTTCGGCTTGTCCTCTCAAAAAGAAACCATAACATTATACCAGTTTGCATGCTTGTCAAAACATCAAAATACAGTAAACCTTTCCCTAATGTGGAAGCTTTGGTGTTTTGGTTCTTGGCCATATCCTTGTAAAACCGAAGCAACACGTTGCATTGGCGATAGTGGCCGATAATAACAGGTAACCTATGTTTGCTCGCCTTCATCCTTTATGCAGTGCAATTCACGCGCACAGGGAATTCCACGCATACTTGTGCAACTGCATATATGTCTATGCGAAATGGCGTTACAAAATCACTAAGCCACAACCCACTGATATAGGGCGTCCTCTAGTATATTGCCATCAAAACAGAAAGCTTTTTTGGCCTGTGGTTAGTGCTTATTGATATTTATTTATTATTTTCACGCTAGTAGCAGTGTTGAAAGCATGAAAATTGCAAGATTTTTTCCCTATGCTGTAGCGTTAAGGAACTTGTTTTGCAGAAATTTTGGTGTAGGTGTCGGCTAATTGATCGTGAGCTAATTGTTTATGAGCAGAAATTCGCGATGGGTGCAAATAATAAATATCAAGGCTCCGAATCACAAATGAACCAAGGCTTTCTGAATGAAAATTTGTTACTCTTTCTGCACTGGACGACATTTACTGTTGCCTTAAGCTTTTCATGTTACAGGACTTGAAATTTATAGTATACGACCGCAGTAAAATGTGGCGCATGCATGCAGGTATCTGGCTTGTTTTTACGTCAAGTTCGTTACACCAGGTTTATGGCATTGAAGAATTAAGGGCATTGGGAATGTTGTCGCTCAAGTTATTTCACAATTTCTCATCACCACTGCCATTCTTCGGTTATAGCACTGATATCTTACTGTATGAAGATGGTTCCTAGCTTTGTGCCACTGGGGACTTGCAGAACGTGGATACAAGTTATCATATGATCACAGATCGAGATTAGTATTACGGTAAAAACGTAAAGTTTTGAGTATTACTTAATGCTAAAATGAATATTAGTTATCTTTTAGTTGAAGTAAGCATTGAAGACGCCGCCGAAAGAAATACATAATGCTTGTGTCAGTATTTCGTTTATTGACTTTTAAACAAAACCTAATTCACAAAGAGCAAATAAATTTATTGCCACTTATATGCCATTAGTACATATGCACATGCTCCACTGGACAGTGGGAGGAGGAGAGGGCATGCTTTCCAAGAAGCTCATGTTCATGTTTAGAGCTTCAGAAGAGAAGATCCGCTCGAACTATCAGAGAAAGATGAGCTGCCTGAATTCCTTGAAAGTCCACCTCCAGACCCTCCGAAGAAGCCCGAAGAATCACCCCCAAAGTCTTCGTAATTAAATCCTCCATCACCTTGAAGTGGTGAGCTCGACCAAACCATCCATCGCCGCGATGGACGTCTGTGTTGCGGAGCGCCAAACCTTATGATTCTCCATGTGAATGGGCTGCCACTTCCTGAGCCTTGGCTGCTCCATAAACTACCATAACCTGATCCACGCCCAAGACCTTCGGTACCTATACCTCTCCGTCCCGAATACAGGCCACCGTAGCCCGCACCGTCCTCAAACTGCGGTCCACTGGTGCCAGCAAAACCGAAGCTTCCTTCACCCATTTCGTCACCTAATTGCCCTAAGAGGCCACCAGAACTTGCCCTGAAAGAACCAGGCATGTCAGCACCTTGACTCCATCGTGATCCGCGGAAACCGAATCGTCCTCCTATCTGGGGACCTCGCCCGAAAACGCCACCATATTCACCACCTCCATACAAACCTCCTTCCCCCAACATGCCCCTGCTTCCTAGTCCACCCCCGATGCCACCAATACCACTGCCCGACATGCTACTTCCTCCAAAGCGGCTGCCTTCTGGTCCACCTGTGAAACCAAAACTGCCTCCCGATGGGCTGCCTGACCCTAATGACCCACCACTTCGTGACCCATCTTCGAAGTCATTTGGACCACCTAGCCCTAAGCCTCCCATTCCACTGGATCCTCCTCTTCGTTCAAAACTCATGAACCGAGGTCTACGACTTCTTCGGCGACGTCCTCCAATGCTCCAGGAACGAAACCCACCTAAACTTTCCATTCCACCCAATCCGCCTTGTCCTAAGCCACCCAAACCCGATAAACCACTTCCTCCAGAGCTGCTGCCTAGGCTTCCACCACTACCTAGGAAGCCCAATGAGCCTCGTCGTCCACTGAATTCTGATAGGCCTGATCCACTGACTGCATCAGTGCCGCCCTGCGCACTGCTAGAGCCGCCACTTTGCCCTCCTGTTCCCGAGGCGCCCCCTTGTGCACCCTGCTGTCCTTGACTGCTAGTGGTGATTCCCAAGTCTAAGTCACTATTGGTACCGCTACTTGGTTCTCTTCTTCCTAAGTTCGAGCTTCCTTGCCTTCCCCTGGTTGACCCACCACCCATGCCCTCACCAAGTCCTAGGCCTCCTGCACCAGCTAATCTTCTGGTTCCTTCGTTCATGCCTCCCCACGGTCTTCCACCTCGCATGTTTTGGTCCCAAGAAAAGAACATTTCATCACCGTCAGGGCCTCCTTGTACTGGACCCCATGGGCCTGCTTGTCCCATTCTACTTCTTCGGCCCCCTCGGCTTACCATACCTGGGAAACCCCAATATTCTTCTAGGCCAGGCCCGAAGTTGGGTCCCATAGACTCGATGTTTCCAACGGGACCGACATGACCCTGCGGGATTCCCGTCTTTAGGCCACTCGTAACTCTCCTATCAATGCGGACTCCCGTGGAAAGGTCAACTGTATGCCCGAATCCATACATTGGTAGCGGGATCCACAACCGACGTCCACCATGAATAACCCATGCTCCAGTCCTGATGACGCCCCAGCGGCCGCTATGCCTGGCGTCCGCCGGGCTGAGCCATGGGTGAGATCCCAAGGTGCCTCCCCATAGACCACGACCTCCGTGGTTGCCGAGCCAGGTCCAGACACGCGACGACTCCACTCCACTACGCTGCAGCTTGCGGCCTCCGGTCAGGGCGCCCAGATGAATGGGATGGACGCCTGCCAGGCCAAGCTCGTAGAGTTCACGGCACACGCGTGGCGCACGCCCAAACTGGAGTTCTGTAAGGGGTTCGGAAGATTGAAATATAATGGTAGCGGATGTATTGAATTTGATATGAACGTATGTCAAAGAAACTGAGGCTAATTTAAATGGCAACACCATGCTAACTGGTGCGGAGTGAAATTGGTAACTGTTCAACTTCTAAGCACATTTTGGGATCGGTCCGCAGAGCTAAAGCTCACGATTGCCCGAACCTGATAAGCACCAGATTTATGAAAACGAGCTGTTGTTTAAAATCATGACAGAAAGGAAGCAAGGTTCTTGAAGAGAAATGGTTAGCCTTTTACTGTATGGTTACAAGGCATGCTTACAGGGGTGTAGAAGCTCTGGTATCTGTATATTTATTAGTTTACACTACTAATGAAGCAAACAACAAAAACTTAAGGCAATTAAGCATACCGGGGGACTACTCGTAATGTTTTTTGTTTGAACGTGATGTTCGTGCAACAAATAGAAATTAGTGCAGGCCAGAACAGCTTGACATTGCTATCGAGAAGCAAACCCACAACATTTGCATTACGCTTGCGGTATTCTACCTTTTCAGGTACAGGTGCAGTTGTCCCGCATTCACTTTTTAAAAATCGTTTCTGTACGTGCAAAGTATTAGTTGGCGGTTCTCACAACCATGGCAGTGGAAATAGGGCCTTCTGTTTTTCACCCGACGGCGTCGTATATCACCTGCTCGAAAGCAGCTGGCAATGTACAAAGAAACACTCACCTGGTGCCTAATAATGCCCCTACGACTTCTTTAGTTTCATCATATGTTAACTATGTAGTTTCGCTCTAATAAAGAAAGCTTGAAGAGAGACATGGGTCGCTTCATTGTTTTTTTTTCTCTTTCGTTTGTTTCATAGTGAGTGTTCTGACACGGCCCTTTTGATGTCTTTAGGTATCATGCGAAAAGTCAGATGGCAGCTCGTAAACATCAAGTGCTGCGCGAGACCGTCATGAAAAAAAAAAGATTCTAGTTCAGTTCTCATAACTGTACATTCTACTGCTTAACACTGTCAGCGGTGCCGGCGCAGAAGTTAAAAAAAAAAAATCGGAGGGAGGCGAATGGGGCCGAAGCTATAAGTTGGCAGATAATCGCACGTGAATGAGATGGTCGGAATCACAGTCTCAAGAGGCGGCAAGGTGGTTATTCTTGGATTTAAATATACATGTACATTGTATCTGCCACGCCTTAATTTTTAGAAATATCAGAAATAATGACCCCTGCGTTTTCCTTCAGTTTCATTATTTGTCGGCTTCGTAGTGTGGCGTCTAACGACCTGAAGAAGTGGGAATACGCTACATCACTCTACAAAACAATGCTGTATTCGCACCGAAAACCCTTCCTAACTTATTCATCCGCAAAGGCACTGTTGTCAATATGGCCAGTAAGTTACACTTTAGCTTAGACAGCACCCGCAACCTATACATACCAGCTACTATTTTGCCCACGTTTATTGAAGCCTTCCTAGGTGAGTATTAGGGAGTTCTGAGTCATTTTTGAACGTTATAATGTATTAAGTTTACCTTCTTACTTGTTTAAATTTATTGTAACAGTCGTGCTATACCAATCAAAGTAAGAGTCGTGCTAAATAATTATGTGCTGTGACAGGGGGCGCTGGCTGTTCCTGCTCTTCCAGTAGCCTTCAGAAAGCTTGTGAACGTTTCTTAAAAGATCAAAAAATAAAGAAAAGAAAGCTAGCGTATATAAGTGTTGATTCAGGTGCGTGTTAACCGATCCCAATAAAATAATGTTGTTCTGAAATCATCTGCTATGACGTGCCTTAAAATAATGCCGTCTATAGTTTCGGCACTTGTAACTCCGCGTTGGTTTAATTAGGTGTGGTTATGACATCATATGTCCGCAAAAAATTTTCAGAAAAGTGATCTCGTCTCTAATATTCACTAAACTTTTGAACATTACTGTTTAAGTACATAATAGAAAAAAGTACGTACCATTTTCGAGGTTGAAAGATTGTGCAGAGCTGTAGACGACAAATATGCCTGCAAGCGAAAAAAAAACAAAAAAAAAAACAAAAGCGTCCGTAACAATCAAGCATTTCTAGGTGTTTTCTGAGATCTATCTATTGTTGTGCTTTGAAGTAGGTAGATACCTACAACGAAAAAAAAAGAAAACAATTGTGACCTAGGTTTGCAGGATTGATGCAGGCCACTACATAAAATCCTGCACATATTTTACAGAAAATGTAAATTATGTAAGCCCTCTAGATTTGTTACAGATGTGAGCACAGTATGTTTGGAATGTTTTGGACAACGCTTGAAATTGCATAGCTTGTTGAAGCAGACATTCTTGAGAATTTTGTAAAACGAATGAATATGAATCTATTGGTGGCGAACTTTCCTTTATATTCTCGATTAGCTGTTCATATTAGCAACCAAGAAAACTTACGTTATATGAGTTTCAATGTGTTTGCCCTCTGAGGTATACTTGGCACAACTAGAAGACTGCGTCGGTTATCGTTTTTATTTATCCTTTGTAATGTTTAGACAAGTATAGTAGAACAGTAAAATTTACCAAGGGCCAGTTTGATCAGCACAAACCACATTACTATTTGTTTATGCGCGCTTTTCGCTTTATTCGCCTCCAACAAATTATCAAATGAAGTTTTCGTATTAAAATTTGCTGTTTTACGGGTAGCGTGAAATAATAAATAAATGATGCAGGTAAAACAATTCGCAATAGTCTCCGAACTGCTCATGACCTGATAGATTTTTTTCTCACGCGTGGAAGCTGAAATCACCTGGTTCTACAAGTAACCCTGCTAGACCAATACAGTGCACTTTGTGACCCGAACTTCACTTCGGTTGCTTTCGGTGAGAGTTCAAAATACTTACGCTCGTGGAGTTTTCCACATGATGCGAGAGCTGTAGCACTACTGAGGTAGAACAGAGTGTTTCATGGTTTGTGATGGATCTCCTCGTAAGTGTCGGTTAGGGTTAAGTAGAAGCGTGGGCATTACGAAAACGCGTTAGACTACAGCCAATTCATCACGAAGACCTCGAAGGCACTTTCTCTGTAGAAGTGAGATTTTCAGCATCTTGAGCCGAATGCGCAAAGCCCATACCTCGCGAGAGCACTTTCTTATTGGTCCACGGCTTTGCTTAGAGATATGTCTTGCGTAATGTTTCGCCTAAATGTTCTCGTACGCAGAATTTTTAGCTCAAGACGGTGCTGTGAGTAGAGGCATTTGCGAGTAGTCTAGTGAAGTAAGCCTGTAGTGAAGTAAGCCTACTTGCTCGCGGCGCGCTTAAAATCGAATACTTTTTTTTGCAAAAGAAGAAGATTGCAAAAAGGGGTGCCATTTCACAGCTTTAGGACAGTCTTGAATGCTTCTACGTAGCTTGAACAGTGCGAAATATGCGTGAATAGTTACACAAAACACATCGGTAATTGCAGGTAATTTAGTCTAAACATGCTCTGCAGGATCTTGAATGTACATTTAGTCGTTTGGCCTTGCGCATACTCACCCAGGATCAATAGGCCAGTGCGTGCCGGCCCCATGATTAGAGTGTGGCCTGTACGGCGCCTGTGCAGAATGTCTTGTGCCTCGTTGGTAGGGAAAAACCTGGCTCTCGAATGTCCCCAGAGGACAAATAAAAGAAAACGAAAGAGATGGAAGGCGTTTCTTTTTTATTCAGATGGCCAATACCTGATCGCGACGTGAGCGTTGAGGTCGACGGATTGGAAGGAGGCAAATCAGTGCGAGCGCGTCCCTGAAACAGAAAATAGACCTCGCCATTGTTTCAGTGACGCACTCACAGACCGAGAAGAAGATATGACAGTGACACGTGGGTATTGTTGAGAGAACTTCACAAAAGGATATGTAACCCATGACCTTCTCGGTTGAGGTGGATGTGAGCCTAAGATGAACAAAATTTCGCCAAAATATATCCACGTTTTCAGGCTTTGTTAAAAGCTGTCTGTTTTTCAACCGCCACTGTTCGTAGAGAGCGCTTCAAACTGAAACACTGAATGCGGAGAAGAAAACAAAAACAAAACGTGCTCGTCGCTTACTTTGTTTTAGACAAAGATCTGGCCATGAAGGAAAAAAATGTTTTGTACTATAGTATCCAATTTATGAAAGTCACCATGGAGAATGTACATGAATAATGTAATTTCGAAGCACATCTTTGTCTGACGCAGCATTTTCAGATGAATGCTAGATACTCGTTCACCACCGTGGATCAGTGGCTACAATGTTCGGCTGCTGACGCGAAGGTTTCGGGTTCGATCACTGCCGCGGCAGCCGTATACTGCGTGTTGAAGGACACCGGATGATCCAAATTTCCAGACCCCTCCATCATGGCATCTCCCATAATCCTATGAAGGTTTCGGGAAGTGAAATCGCCGATAATATTACTATTATTCTAAATATGAAACCACGTGCTCAAAATATTCATGGTTGTTTTACTTGGATGCTCACAAAATGATTTTGCCTTTGTTTTTTGGCCATATAGCGTGACAAAGTAACTGTTAACTTTCACAGGTTAAATGAGTGTATCCCTTAAGAGAAAACCTTGGTTGGGGGCAACTCTACGCCAGTTTTTTAGGTTCACGAGAAGCACAGAAATACTTTTATAAAATACTGCCTACACCTATTTGAGTGAAGGCACTTGGATTAGAAGTACAAGGTTCAATATCTTTTTATCATTAGAAATGATGATTTCATCAATAGCGCATTTCTGTTACCCCTTCATGTATAAAATATTGCTAATGATTTATATTTCAAGGTATGCAAGACTTGTACCGTTTTGTACTTGACAATTTCAAGAGCTTCTGAAGTAAAACATTCATACACTGGTAGTTTTTCTCAACATGAAGCCACTTGGCCAGTAACGATTTGCTGGCATTTTACGTGCCAACCTTACGACATGGTAAATAGGGGCTCACCGCAGGGGGGGAGGGGGGACTTCGGATTAATTTAGACCTCCTTGTTTCTTTCACGTGCACTTATACACAAGCACGTTGGTAGCCCTTGCATTTTGTCCCAATCGTAATGTGGACTCCATGCTCTCGAGCTTACCAGCGTGGTACCTAGCATGCTCGGAGCTACCATGGTGGTCTGTGACAGGCGTATGCATTGCAAAGAATTGGCTTGAAATGTTAACCGACTCATATACCCATTGCCTGGAAATCCAAAGTAAATGAGTGGATCAATGAATGAAAGAGCGACTTTATTGGTCTTTGTTTAAATAAAGGAGGCAAACGGACAGAGGGTGAAGGAGATGAACCTCTTGAAGTAGGGTTTCTTTACGCTCTGCCCACACCAGGATGGCCTCTTCAGTGCCGGACATTAAGCATTGCAATGCAGGGCTCGCTGCTCATAAATGTAAGAGTTTCAGAAAAGGGGGAAAAAGGTCGCATAATGTGGTTAAGTTTGCTATGAAAGAGGCGCAATATTTACTAGATGGCCATAGGCAACTGGAAGGATAAATGCAGTGGAGGAGGTAAGGAAAGTGAAAGGTGCGACTCTGCAGCTGTCAGCAGTAAATTTAACACATCCGTGGGAATTTACCCATGAGCGGTGAAAAGGTTAGGCGTTCTCATTAGTAGTGTGTGAAGCTCGGGGGAAGATGGTGACTTCAAGTGGCAACAAGCAATTCCACAGGGGATGCCGCTGGAGGTAACGTTTCTTTTGTGGCAATAAAAGCGTCGTCGTAAGAGAAATTTATACTCTAATGAAAGCAATACCACCTTTCGAAATGTTCTGTCCACTGACGACGCAGTTCCACAACTCGAAAAATAACTTTAATGATGCATAAAAGATGGGAATCAGTGTATACAAGTGAAACCCGTATCTCAGACCACCCTCAAGCTTCCATAGCTCATCTGGTGAAGGAGGTGCCCGGTTGGTTTCCCAAGTACAGTTTGAAAACCGCACATTCTACGACGAGTATGCAAGTAAGTCCGTGGTAAAAATTTTGTGTAGGACACACAAGCATTGAACCTGCTCGTTGTGCGTGAAAAAGCGCATTGCATGTCACTTTTCAAAGCCTTCAAATAGTCTCTCTTTTATAACGAAACCCACAAACAGAGATGAAAAATCAAAAGAAGTAAATAAATAAATCAATAGATAAGCAATGTGGGTGAAGCGTAAAACACCTTTTGCTTGAAAAAGTCCGGGAGACGTGCGGTACGTGAGTTGCTTCATTGATTTTCTGTCCACAGGCTGCGATTTAATGTGCGCCACTTTGTAAATAATGTTATTCGGTGGTTTGCTGTAAGAGGTAAAACATATTTAAAGAATTATGGCTTCTCATCAGGGTGCCAGCTCAGAAATACAAAAAATTGCCAATCAACAGCAGAACCTAACCAAAAGTAGTCAACTTGAGACACGGGCAGTGGAAATAGCCAAAAGTAGCCATGCGTATGTGAAAAAAACTGCGACGTTCCTATTTAGATGGCTAAACCCAGGAGCTATTGGGTGAATAGGCGGGAAAAAATTCTAGCAGTGGCTTGGCTCGCCTATGCCAGGATATACGTAGCGCGATGATAAGGGCGAGTCACTAAACTGAATGCTTGACGCATGACGCTAACTACCAGCATCAAGTCTTTCATATGCCACAATCTTTCACACACGTCGCACACATATCCAAGCGGATTGTTTACGATGTCCGTCTCGAAGGCCCTAGTCGCTTGGCGGTTTCACTAAGTTTCCCCTTATAATCAGCTAATCGGCCTTCTGGCGACGCCACTTAGCTACACGTTCCTCCCTTTGCTCCGGTGTCTCCGCAGCACATTTAGCCTTCTTTCTGCACGTTCTCACGCTCAACCGCTATAGTTGCCAGGCAAATGCATTGGGATCCGATCAGCTAAGCTTCTCCACTCTTCTGCACCGCCAAGCAGCAATTTCGTTCTCCTTCTCCATGGATATATTATTCTGGCAGACGCCCCGCTATATGTGTATAGGCACCCGGCAATGCAGTTTACGAGATCCGATGGTAGCACCAGAACACACAGCCTAGCGAGTAGGCGCAGCAAAACCGAGTCTTCTAAAGCGTAGCCTAGCGAGTAGACGCAGCAAAACCGAACTTGACGTGCGTATCATTTTCTTTTTTAGTTGTGAGCAAGCGGTCACGGCTGATTATGTAAGCGCCCAGGAAGCGTTCTTTGCAAACGTGCCAAAAAGGGCACTGACACTTCAGCATGTCACCGTGTTGAGCGAGCGGTACATTTTCTTAGTGTCCCTGGCGGTCGGTACCAACAATGCTGAGGCGGCCCAAAGAGCTTCGTTGCGCCTTCTGGTTCACTGTCGGGTGACCATAGCACCACGGCAGACGCGATCGAAGAGAGCAGCGTGGCTTGAGGTGCACGAGCCACGAGGTACGATCAAAATGTGTTTGCCGCGGCGGTGACGTCATTCCTATGGATTGCGCAGACCGACGAGACGCGCGTAGTCACTGCTCTTCGCGCTTGCGCAGCAAGGCTCTTGCACGTACATGCGAAACCGCTTGGCGTGGCTAAAGTCCCTCTATCTACATATATAGGGACCTTAGGCGTGGCCAGTGTAGCTAACGCTACAATAAGTACAGCAAAAAACGGCCAAAAGCATAAAGTGTAGACCTTAGCCACGATTTCGTGAAGGCTGACGAAATTAATGGAGCTATTGCAAAAATGAGAGGGAAAGAAACTTCATTAACGTGTCGCTGCTGGTTCCAAAGGTCGCGGAGAGTCGGGAGACGGACCCCTCCACAACCCCTCTTCTCCAGGCGGCAGCCAATAAAGCTGGAAACCCGAGTGACAATTATCCGAAGCAATCTTTAAGGCACACTTTCGAGTTTTCTCGCCAGCTATAACAGCAGGGGTTACCGAGGAAATGACGGAATAAACCGCCAAACTCTCTTCAAGCATCTTGCGTAAGTTTTCTTCGAAGGAGTAGAAAAGACAGCCTAGTGGCGGTAATAAACTTTAGTAAGTGCTGCAAAATTGTGTCGAAAGCTGTGTAGTCACTAGCTTTGTAGTCACTTTCAACAACGTTTCTAGCACAATGACGAAGTCCGATTAGTTAGTATTTCTGAATCACAATCCCTACGTAATTTTTAAGAAATAACACTGCCAGTTTGTCAGGTATATGATTTCCAATGTCAACCAGTGCAAAACATTCTGAATAGGGATCACTTTGATTGTTCTATTGACCTCCATTTACCGTACGAGTTCCGTTCAGCAGTACATGCTATGCCGTGTAAAGACCACCCACATTTTTTTTCCTGGGCCTTAGCCACAAATTCAAAGCAAATACCTCGTGCAATAAACGTCGAATTCAATTTCGGAAGCTGGAAAGACGCATTGGTTCCAACGTTTTCCTACCGCACACTTGAACGCCAGTGGCTGCAACATCACACGTTATTGACAGTTTCTATGAAATTGACGGAACAAAAAAACTACAAAAAAGTTATCAAATTCGTTTTTTTCTGTCACCACCAGCAAAACACAGCCACCAAATCAGCGCAATGTTGCCAAATCTGGCAACCGTGCTTCTCAGTGTGTTTGGGGGTGCAGAAATGTATATCTCTACAGTGTGCGTTTATCTCGCTCACAGTTTGTATCTTTATCTTTTTTTTGTATTTCTTCCTACAGACAGATATCAGATGACGCCTCCTATAA